GGAGGTAATTCAGCCACTTCAGAATGCCGGTTTTTGAACGAGCCTCCATCTGACTACTTGCAAAAGCCACATTTAGTAAAGAGTGGTAACTCAATTAGTATGAATTTTCTCCTTTATTTACGGCCCTTTTATAAATTTAAATGTAATTTATAGAACACAAACATGAACATATTCTTTCTTCTGTTTATTTAGTCGCAGGTTACTTCAAGTTTAGACTTAAAAGTGTATTTTCGACTCTAAGAAGTTTCTAATTATGTGCTTTTTAAGACTGAAAACTTTATTTATGAAGCATTGTATCCTTCCATTCATTAATGCTGCATATAAAGTAGGCGGCGTTTTCTATCTTCACTGTAACATTTTACAGGCCCCATACTAACTTCCGAATGTAGAGGATTAGTTGATTTTTCGCACACTATTTGTGTTCTTGAAAGAAAGTCGGGTTCAAAACTCTTCGACTTATGTCCTATCATTTGCCGTCCGAACTGGCTTTCGGCGGAGAGACTGTTGTGGGGTTACAATCGTATCGCGCACATTGATTTTATCTGTTGCCTGAGTATTTATTGTATTGCGTGCAAGTTATTGGCTCCTTTACTATTTCCTTCAAACTTCAGGCCAAATTCTTTAACATTTTGCGATTTTCGTGTGACTCCGATCAAAGTAGCTCGTGTCCAGACTTATACTAAACGAATGGATTACATCTTAACCTGTTCTAGCTCCTTAGATTAAAGAATCATGACTTAATTGATTTTTACAAAATGTCTATACCCAAAAAGGCAAAGGTATGAACAGACAGTCCTACGTAGTAAGCGAACTTAGAAGGCCTATTCTACTTTCGAGCAATGACATAGTTTGCTTATCCCTACATTCTGTATATTTGTTTGTCACTGTAGTCGCTATGTTAATTGACTTGGCTTTGCTGGCTGTCCAGGGTGGAGGTGTTATTTAGTTGTTCAGAAACTCCCATTTATACCCTAGACGCGTAATCTACTGTATTAGCTTTCGGTCAGATTTCAGGCCTTATAAAATGGAGCTACATTTATGATGGATTTTTAAAATTCAAAAATTGAAGTGCTCTCCGTCTACTACCCATGTTTTTTACGCACGGATTTCTGCTATTAAGACTATCAACACTAGGGATTTGCTCCAACAAACATTAGGTTTCTGGGTTTTTAGGGCTGTCCCCCACCAATTAATAAGTTACATGAATTTCTATTTCCTCGTTCAGTATTATTGTCCTTCGACACAGCGACTCATTTGCCAGACGGTTAGAAGTCTAGTTGTGCAGTTGACTACCGAGCAATATAAGGCTATACGAAAAGAACAGATCCCAAACACTTCGCTGCTGCGATCAATGATCAGGCTCAGTATACTTGCGCTTGGGAAGCAGATTCTCATTAGATTAATGGCCGGATCGTGAGTATGTCAGCTCAGCGTTTGGCAAAACGATACTCACAGACAAATGCAGAATACAGCGTTCAAGAACGGCTCTAAAAGTTCTTTCAGATGTTGCTTAACGAATCAAAAATCTTGGCTAACTTTTCCCCTGAAGTGGCAGGCATAGCGAATTGTCACGGAAGATGTATGCACGATTCGCCCTTCCGTTTCGCTTGACGCACCACCTCGAGACAAGCAAACGTATTATCGTTTGAGCTTTAGTGGGCCATTTGAACTATTTCGCGGTGCCATAAGCAGTCGTCACATTTATGACCTTTAAAAGACATGAATGCCGCCAGTGAAGGGATCTGGCGCACTTGACTGTCTGGTCTGGTACAATTTTAGCTTAGTCAATTTGAATGATTTCCATGGCAATCAATACCTCTTCTCTACCGTCGAGAAGTCAGTTACTTCGAGACCTATAAGAAGTAAATGGACACTTATTTCGCGGGAAAACGTAAGTCCTGATTAATTTTCCGCACATCCTTCCTTGATCACTTAAATCAAAATGTGTTGTATTTTCCCAGGGTCAGCCCTTGCATGACTTGTGCACCCTATCATGAGACAGTTAAGAGTGTCAAATGAACCTGTAGTGTGTCTTTTCGCGTCACTGGGTCAGTGTAGCGGTGTGACTGGGTTTTTCCTCCCTCTTCAACCACTGTCAACCCTGAAGTCGTACGATGGACACAGTCCTCAAATGTCATGTTTTTTTTATATTTCTCGTCGCTTAGTCTAGTTTTTCTCAACAGAAGAAATGCCTACTGAGACTAACAAGTTAGGTCAGCGTGATTGTTAGGTTCACTGTATATTTTGTTCAGCCATGATCAAATGACATCGTGAGCACACTTAAAAACCGTTTATGACGCATTCTGTGGGCGCAACCTTTGCTCCCATAACGGGTCACGCGGAAGATGCATTGGAAAAAAACGCGGGGACCAGACTAGGGCACGGCACTGCACGCCTTAGTCGGTCTGTGCACACATAACAAATGCCAACCATGGGAGGTGTGGTGGCACGCCCGGCCGTGGGCTCACGCTGTGCCAGCTACCTGCGTCCACACCCCTTATCGGATGGCTAACCAATTCGGACAGCGGACTAGTACTTGGGAGGGGAAAGAGAGAATGAGATCGATTTTAGGGACTCTATCTCCATGACAGTCAAAGCATCGTTTTCACTGTACACAATCGGACGCTCTTAAGTCTGTCATAATCTGCTAAAAGCCG